TATGTAAGAGAGAGTGTGTGTGTGTGTGTGTGTGTGTGTGTGTGTGTGTGTGTGTGTGTGTGTGTGTGTGTGATATTAATTATTTAGAATACACCATATACTTACTACACACTTTATTATAACATTGCATTGTCAAATACAATAATATGTAGTAATATGTATTAATTATAATGTATACTTACATATATTATATATTAATTCTTAGGGAATTTCATACAATGTACTTTGGCCATAGTCTCCCCGGCTCCTTCCCCCACTCCTACCAGATCACTCTCACCCCAAACCACAACTTTGTGTCCTTTTTGTTTTGTTTGAATAAGCCATCAAGTCCAATCTTTGCTGTCCATATATTCTCGGGTACTGAGCATGATTGACCTACCAGGGGCCATACATGTTTTTAAAGAAAATGGACCCTCTCTCCCCCACAAGCTACCAGCTGCCAATAGCTCATCAGCTCAGGGTGGGGCCTTAGCTGCTTCCCTGCTCCATGTCGGAATGTTGACTGGCTGGATCTTGTACAGGTCTTATGCAGGCAACCACAGCTGCTGTGAGTTCATGAATGGAGTGGTCCTGCCCTGTCCAGGCGGTTTCAGTCCAGCCCTCCCCTACTTCTGGCCCTTGCAGTCTTTCTGTCCCATCTTCTGAGGTGGTCCCCGAGTCTCGGGATGAATATGATATAGATGTCCATATGGACATCTATTTCCCACCATTTTCTGCATACTGACCAGAGGTGAGCTTCTGTTAACCACTGTCTACTGCACAAAAAACTTCTCCACACTGACCTATGCCATTTGGTTTTACACAGCTGGCAAACCAAGAACACTATTTAAGTACTTGATATTGTTTTTTTCTAAATAAAAAAAATACAATTTCATGACATGGGAAAACTGCATGAAATTCTTCCTTCAGTGCCCACAAATCATTTCCACACTGTCTGCTGTTTTTTTATGCTGAGACAGTGGAGTTCAATGGTTGCTGCAGAGGAGTATGTCCTGAAATCCTGAAAGGATTTACACACTGGCTCTCTTGGGAGGAAACGCTTGTTGACCCTTGTTTAGCTTTGACCAGTCAAAGCAAAACTCTCATTTGGACCCGTGATTGGTCATTATGCTCATATTAAGCTCTAGCTGAGAGTAATCTCCTTGCAGTCAGTTCCAGGGCCCCTTAGAATCTGCCCATGGGTGAGGGGTAGAAGAAAGGATGGACCTCAGTTTTTACCCATCTACCTAAGCTAACTGCATGGAGGAAGAGCACACACCTCCTCTCATTCAGACCATTTCTGGCAAAGCCTGAGAGAACTACAGTGGCAGGGAGGCTCACAGGCAATGGGTCAGGACAGTGACACACCTGGGGACTATTTGGTGACAAGCAATGGATACCTCCTCCTGGGAAGCACCTGTGCTATTCCATGTGAGAACTTGCTAAGACTGCAAGCTCTCTGTTCCCATCCCAGAAAATCAAGTTACCCGACTACTCTGTGTTATAAGGAGTTCCCTCTCAGCAGGTCCCTGGGTTTTCTCCCAAGCAGCCTCTGCCCATTAACAGACTGGCCCCAGTTACAGAGTAAGTCTCCCACACACTTAAAATTAAAAGGCCCTCAAAGGAAGAGACAGATAAAGATATCTGGTAATTATTTTTTTTTTCAAAGAGCATTGCTTGGGCCAGGTATGGTGGCACACACCTTTAATTCCAGCACTTAGAAGCAGAGGCAGGCAGATCCCTGTGAGTTCATGGCCAGCCTGTTCTGCACAGGAAGTTTCAGAACAGCCAGGGATACATAAAGAGACCCTATCTTAAACTGGTGGGGGGGGGGCGTCAGGGGCAGGAGGTGGTCAAGGTCACGATGGGAAAAACCACAGAGACAATTGACTGAAGCTAGAGGGGGCTCAGGTTCCATGGAGAACCTGCATGGAACTGAACTAGACCCTCTGAATGTGAATGACAGTTATGAGACTTGATCTGTTGAGAGGGGGCGCTGGCAGTGGCACCAGGACCTATCCTAGGGGCATGAACTGGCTTTTTGAAGCTCATTGCCTATGGAGGGATACCTTACTCAGCCTTGATGGGGGGGGTGTCTTGGACCTGCCTCAACTTGATATGCCATACTTGGTTGACTCCCCAAGGAAGGCTTACCCCCTATGATGAGTGGATGGGGGGGAGTTTGGGAGGCAGTGGGGCAAGAGAAGGGGAGGGAGGGGAACTGGGGTTGGTATGTAAAATGAAAAATAAATTAAAAAAAGAGCCTGTCTTGAAAACAAAACAAAACAAAGGCCAAAGAGCCTTACTTAGTTATAGGATTATAATTAACATTATAAAGAACTACCAGCATTCATCCAAGATCCACCTGCACCCAATAAAAGATCAAATCCCTTGACCAAGTTCTGATGTGGTTCACTGGGTTATTCGTTGGCATGTTCATTAGTGACTCAACAAATGCTTATTGGTGATCTCTTAGGAGTCTAATCACAAGAAAAGAAACTGAAATTGTGTCTGTATCTCTGGGCAGGTATCTCATTACCCACTTTATATATGTGAACTTAGTGGATCTGTACCAGGTACCTTGCCAGGTTGGCAGCAGTATTCCCAAAGAGCAGATGAGCTGGCTCAGCAAGTGAGCAGCAGTTCCCACACCTCCTCTTTAACGTGCTTCTGAGGCACACAGGGCTCAGTATGAGAAGCAAGAACTCGATTCAGGCAGCTAATGGGGCTGGAATAGGGGGTACTCACCATTGAGCAGCCAAGTGATTCGGGGTACTGGGGTCCCCCGTACAGAGCACCTCAGCACAAAATCCTGGCCCTCAACGACAACACTGTCCTTCAGGACACTAGAGAATGAAGGGGCTATCTGCACCAAGTTTGACCCTGTGAAGGCAAACAACAGAAAGACCCTCTCAGGTCACAGCTCGAGCCTACCTGGTGACTGATCAGTTATCCCAAGCCTTGCAAGGCAGACACTCCATTGTCCTGGGCCCTGGGTTTCCTTAACAGCTGGCCTGTGCCTTTCCTACCTTTATGCTTGGGGAGGAAAGGAATCACATGCCTGCGGTCCACTCAGTACAACTGACAGGGGGTCTTCCGGGGTCACAAAGTTTCCTAGTGCTAGGGCACTCACACAGAGGCCTGCCTTCTTCCTTGTGAGGCAAATCTCTCCGATCTACTTTTGACCTGTGTAATCCTGAGCATCCTGGGAGTGCCTTCTCCCCTCTTTCTGGGTCTGACTCTGAGTTCTAGGGTCTCTTCTTTACACATGCCATCACTAACCATATGGTCTTATTACATGGGTCAAATTAATATCTTATTTGTAGAAACTGTAGGCCCACAGTGGGGTTATTTCCATTTGAAATTGTTTCATTTATTTTCCCCCAATTCCAGGTCTGAATCAAATGACAAAGATTCACGTGCATTTTGCAAGTGTGACTTGAGCCCTGTTCTAGGTCAAAGGTCCAGAGTGACTGACTGATGGAAGTGCTGTCCACACACACTGATGAATGGACTTTCTATTCTTGGAGAAATGCCCTCTGAACTTTAAAGTTTGAAGCCTTCCACACTGTAGATTTGGAAACACTTTAAATTTTAACAACAGGGACAGATGATGACTTCAAAACCAATCAGGGTGTGGTACAGCAAAGTCAGGCAACTGATTCCACAACCATACTGTCTCCTCTAGACCTGAGGGTAGGTGGTGGGTGAGCAGACACAAGACAGCAATGGTGCTTCTAATCAGGCCTGACACCAAGGAAGAGATAACCCATCCTTAGGGATGCACCATCCATACCTTCTCTGAGTTGCCATCAGATTCCCTCACTAGAGAGATGCTGATCAGAGTCACTGACAAGATTATGTTCCTAGTCAACTTGGGTTAGGAATATGGTATCTTTTATAAGGCATGTACAAGTAACCTAACTTTACCACCATTCTGTATTCTAGTCTGGAAAATGGGTGTAGCTATAGTTATCTATTGAGGCCACTGGGATCTTTAAATGAAATAAGATAAGCAATGCACGGAGAGCATTTGGCACGAGCCCAGCTTATAGAACAGTCACAGTGAGCATTTGTCACTCCTGTCAAATGGAAGCTGTGTACAGAAACTCTGCTTAGAGTAAGTAGTGTTTGTTGTAAAAGGGTAGAGAGGTTAAAGCTCCCAAGAAGAGAATAACCCAGAAGGAGGAGGCTCCTCTGATGGGGGAAGAGGAAAGGCTACAGGCAGAGTCCCTGTTGGCTAAGATCTCCACGGAGTATGGAAGGGATAGAAGAGATGTGTAAGAAAAGGAAGCAGCATTTCTGCAATTAGAGGAAGGAAGAAGGAGGAAAGAGAGGGTTGGCAGAGGATGCTAGAAAATACACACGGCACAGACTGTGTCTTGGTAAAGTATTGCTGAGAATGAATGGGAGATTTGTGGTTTGGAGAGGTTGCCAGATAGTAGACACCTCAAGGAGCTAGGGGAATGCACGTGTAGAAGAACAGAGAAAAACAAAACCAAAAAACCAACCTTTGCAATCTACTCCATTAAAGCAGAGAAAATGTCATCACAGAGATTCTAGATCAAGCTTCCCAGAACTCTGGATAGTAACCAAGGCTTGAGAAGACCAAACCGCACTCCTCCAAGCTCAGCTGAATCTTGGGAAGGATGGCAGACTTTGTAGTCTTTTAACTTCCCTTCCCTTCAACCCAGCTCTTGGCAGCTTTGAAAACCAGAAGCAATGATGGAACTTGTGAAAATGAGCTGTTTGGCAAGGCTTGAGGGGCCAGAGCTCCTGAGAACCACAGCCCTGAGAGAATCACCACCACTGCCTGGTTCTGGCAGCCCCTACTCCACCTCCAGCACTGTCTGCTTTGACCTGACTCAGAACTTGGTCTATGCAAACCACTTCATCCCCAAGGTACTTGTGAAAAAACAATTATTAAACATCACTGCTACTGAGGCAGCAATATCAACTGGGACTAGTAAGAGTCTGACCAATAAAATTTAAAAGGGAAAACTGGGAAAATGTCCATGGCTATGAAACTCTCAAATATCCTCAGGGTCCTAGAAGGCCTCATGAAAGTACAAGGCTATGTGTATGCTCAAGAAGGACCTAAGAGGCCTTACTTTCACCTCTGGCTGGTCTGCAGGCTCTGTGCTAGCAGGGAACAATGGCTAAGTTGAGCTGTAATCTTTCAGCAGTAGAACTGAAGATTCGCTTAAATACACGCAGAACGCATCATCAAAGGCTGGAAGACACACTGGTTCAAGGTATTTCCTTAACTTACTCATATTCAACTGTTACTTCAATCACCAAGATGACTAAATGAGATATCACTGACACATGGTAAGTAATATGGTACTACTGATGTCCCCCAAGGGCCCATGCATTGGATCCCTGAAGGAGGGATCTAGTAGAAGGAGGTTAGGCCACTGGAAGGTGTCGTTTTGGGGGATATTGGAACTCTGGTCCTTCATCTCTTGCTTTACTTCCTGGTTTCCATAAGCTAGGGAGCCTCTTCCATCACACTCTCCCTGGTAGACTTTGTCATCACAGGACCAAAAGCAGTGAAGCCAGTTGACTGTGGATTGAAACCGCAAACTGTGAGCCAAGATAACTTTCCTCCTTTAGGTCAATCACATCAGGAATTTGATCACAGGGACAGAAAGCTACAATATATCCAGATGTTGCAGGACAGGAGAAAACAATTAAACATTTAATAAACTTTTATAAAGGACTTGTATCTCAAATATACAAAGAACTCTTAAAACTCTGCAACAACAACAAAAAAACTCTGCAACAACAAAAATTGACCCAATTTAAAAAAATTTGCAAGGATCTTTCATTAGATTTCTGCAAAGAAAACATGCAAACATCTAAAAAGCACATGAAATTATATTCAGTGTTAGTCATCAGAAAACACAAGTCAAAATCCTAGAGAGTTAACTATAGAAAAGTAAAATATGAACTGTAAAATATGTACTGGTGAGTGTGTGGGTCAATTGGAACATTTGTACACTGCTGGTGGAACAAAACGGTGACACCACTGTAGAAAACAGTCTGCTGGTTCCTCAAAGGGAAACACAGCATTACCTCCTGACTCAGCAGTTCCACAGGCACTGGGAAGCACTTGCACACAATGCTCACAGAGAGCCCCACCCCTAAGAAGAGTTAATGATTGCTGAGGGAGGGAAAGCCCCCGATAGATAATGTCTCAGTCCTAAGTGGTCCTCCTTAAACACCTGTGCCTACAGGTAATACTAACTAGTCTCTCTCTCTCTCTCTCTCTCTCTCTCTCTCTCTCTCTCTCTGTGTGTGTGTGTGTGTGTGTGTGTGTAAACAATAATTATAAAAGAATATGTCATGAATTAGAGGAGTGATTGGAGCACATGGGAGCAATTGGAGCATGCAGTGAGAGACCATAGCCAGACCCTCCATGAAACTTGCAGCCAACACCAAGTGGATCAGACCTCGGATCCAGTATGTCTTTGTTGCTTCTGAGGTTGCAAACGGAGTATGCCATTTGCTAGCACCCTTGTCTACAAGCTACATCAGGTTCTGTATCTATGCAGAAGTCTTTGGATTTGCCTTTGGTTGGCTCAGCTCTGTATTATTTGAAACATTGATGGACCTCGTTGGTCCCAGAGGTCCTCCAGTGCTGTAGGCTTGGTGACCATTGTGGAATGCTGTCCTGTCCTCCTAGGGCCACCACTTTCAGGCCGCCTCAGTGACATGTATGGAGACTACAAATACACATACTGGGCTTGTGGCATTGTGATCCTCATCATTGTAGGTATCTATCTCTTCATTGGCATGGGCATCAATTATTGACTTGTGGCCAAAGAACACAAAGCAGAGGAGAAGCAGAAAAGGAAGAAGGTAAAGAGGACGAGACCAGCACTAATGCTGATGAGAAGCCAAAGGAGGTAACAAAAGCAACACGGTCCCCTCAGCAGATAGCTCTGGAGACTCCACAGAGGAGAATCCTGTCTGAACTGAAGCATGAATAGAGCAGTGTGTGACCCAAGACATCTGAAACCATTCTGCTGGCCTCTGGTGTACCAGTGGTGCTCAATGCATACAATGGACATTTGTATGGAAAACCTACTAGGTGTTCATTGGTGGAATTTTGTTTTGTTTTGTTTTGGTTTTGGTTTTGTTCACTCCTTAACAATGCTGTAATTTAAAATTTACTATGCTTTAGGTAGGGAGTGGGTGGCAAAGGATATGGAAAAGAAGTAGGGATTTGTTTTGTTTTAATCTTAGCTTTTAACAGTGTCATGAAGATTATAATATGTGCCTTAAGTTTTAGTTTTAGAACTCTTTAGAGAGCCTTAATTTTTAAAATCATTCTGCTGAATTCATCTAATTTAAATGTTTTAAAAGGAAAAATAACAACCAACTTGCTTGAGGTAACTCTAACCTTAATCTTGTTTTGTTGTTGTTTGTAATGCTTTGTCAGAAATTGTTACTGGAACATTTATGGATAGAAATATTAGTTAAAAGTTGGAGGTTTCAGTCACAAAAAGACAAACATGGTATGTATTCACTCATATATGAATTTTAGGCATGGAGCAAAGGTTTACCAGCCTATAATCCTCTTCACCAAAGAAACTAGGAAACATGAAGGACTCTAAGGGATAAATAGACCCCAGGAATGGGAAGTGGCATGAACTCCTGAGCTAACTGGGAGCA